CTTTCTTCTAACCTAGTATAAGTAAGAAGAGGGCTTCCTTTATAGGCAAAACAAAGTGTAAAGCTTCTTGAGGAAGCTAAACAAGGGTGCATATCCTCCATACACGTGTATGGAGGATCCTGTCTGTGCCCTCCAGCTGGCACAGCTGGCATACACTCTATCTGTAGAATGCTCCGGAAGGTCGTCGGCTAGCAAAATATGCCGGTCGGCTACTTTAAATTGCCGGTCGGCACAATAAATGGCCGGTCGGCACAATAAATTTCCGGCCGGCACAAACAGAGTGCCGATGGGTGGCCGGTAAGGTCAAAAAAATGCCGGTGGGTGTCCAAATTGAAGCCCCGGAAGTTAGCTTTCCAATGGCGCAAACCTTGCATTAAAATTCCTCCTGTGGAAAAAGTTATACCCTTTTCCGTGAAGCCGCGCAGATTCGATCCAACCGGGATGATGCCCGACTTCAACTGATCATATCTCCCCCACCCGGACTTGGCTCTAGGAGATTCTTGAGTGCAAAATGAAGCCCTGGAAGTCTTCTTTCCAACGATGGTGGCCTCATAGCTTAACTCCAAGTATGCAATTGAATGAGCCCGATTTAGCGAGGGCTGCTCGATTTTCTCCTGCCCGGATTCATGCCGAACTTCTCCCAAATTAGTTTTCTCCTCTCCTTTCCTCTCTTCTTCAAGTCCAAAACCCTAAACAAAGTGTTTTGAAAGATTTGCCTCTCTTCTAGTCGAAGAAACTGATTCTTTGCCCTGCACATCTCTCAACACCTAGCAAACCATCAGTAGTGCCCAAGTCTTAAGGGCGGTCAAAAATGGGGTGTCTACAGTTGCCCCTCTTTGACAGAACTCGAAAGTCATAACAATGACGGGAGTGAATGTCAAAGCCCAGAGACGACCCATTTTTGGCAAGGCCGAAGTCTTGGACAAACAAAATACCGATAAATGAATGGTTGTACCCACAAGCTGCCTACGTATCCCTTTGCAAGGAATCAAACCAGCGTAGTTCAGGGGCAGGATGCAAATGATATGCAGGAAGACTTTGATAATGGACTTATACGTTACGCGAAGCCGATTTGTATGCAAAACAATGCAATGTACTAACAAGTACAGGTGAGGTGCGCAAGATAGCGCGATAGAATGCATGCAAAATGCAAGTAAGGTGCACAAAACAGTGCGACGCAATGAACTGACAAATGCTACAAGCATTTTCTATGCAAGATGAGAGAGAGCATGTAATGAAATGCACAAGATAGTGCGATACGCAAAAGAGCGCGAGTGTAAACTGCACAAAATAGTGTGATGCGCAAGAAAGCGCGAGTGATTTGAAATGCACAAGACAGTGCGAGTGATTTGAAATGCACAAGAAAGTGCGATTGAGGTGCGTAAAATAGCGCGAATGTAAACTACACAAAACAGTGCAATGCGCAAGATAGCGCGAATGATAAACTGCACAAAACAGTGCGATTGAGGTGCGCAAAATAGCGCGAAATGTAAACTGCACAAAACAGTGCAATGGGCAAAATAGCACGAATGATAAACTGCACAAAACAGTGCGATTGAGGTGCGCAAAATAGCGCGAATGGTAACTGCGCAAAACAGTGCGATGCGCGAAATAGCACGAAAGTAAACTGCACAAAACAGTGCAATGCGCAAAATAGCACGAATGATAAACTGCACAAAACAGTGCGATTGAGGTGCGCAAAATAGCGCGAAAAAGTGCGATACGCTAGATAGCGCGATTGATTTGCAATGCACAAAATAGTGCGATACGCTAAACAGCGCGATTGAAATGCAAATGCACAAGACAGTGCGAGTGAATGCATGTTCTATG